TTGAATATGTAATGACTACCATTTAACGCTGAACTCTCGTTCGTTGAAACAAACATGCATGATGATAGAAGCTTTGGACATTCTAAGTCGACTTCATAGTTCGAGGGTGTTCTCGAAAGTTGATTTAAAAGATGCTTATTTTCAGATACCTTAGATAAATCTTCATCCATTTTAACAACAATCAGAACTGCTTTTGTCCCGTTCAAGTACAACCTCCTATCACTTGGTTTAAGTTGATCTCCAGCCATATTTCAGGAAGTGATCAATAATGTAGTCAGCGATCTTAAAGATATTGAAGTTTTTTAGGGTGATCTTATTATTCACGGTTCTGATAAACTGGCCAGCCCATGATCAGAGACTTGTTGCTCTTTTGCCTCGTTTAACTGAGAAAAATATTACGGTGAATTCAAACTAGGTGTTAATTTTGTGTTTCCAGTATAGAATGGTTCGAATGGTTTTAGACCAGATATGAAACGAATAGCTCCACTAGCAAATGCGCTATCTCCAAAACATCTTACAGAAGTGCATCCACTAGTGAGTGTTTCTCAATAATATTCCGTTTTATTTCTAATTTTTCTTGTCATGCTAGTTGTTTATTCACTATTTTGACATCCGAATCATTCAGGTGGGGTGACGAACAAGAGTTATGCACATGAAGTCTACTACATTCTCTCCAAATTGGTCCCGTTCTTCGAAATTACTCCTATAGTGCATATTCCGTACTTATTACTGATGCATCACCTGTGGGTATTGGCGAAGTTTTGGAGCAGGAAGGTAGACTGGTTATCTGCGTTTCACTCAAGTTTACAGTCGCTGAACAAATTTATTCACAATCTCAGCAAGTATTAGCTGTGTTTTTGGCCGTCAAAAGATTTCATAAATTTTCATCCAGAAAGAAATTGACTATTGCCGCGGATCATGAAGCTTTAAAGTTTATTAATCATCCTGAAAAAACCTTAAGACGGTCTTCAGTTGTTATGGTTCCTTTGTAGGTTTATTTGTCGTCCTGAGTGGTAACACTATTAAAGACTGTCTGGATTTTCCTTCCGAACCTACACCTTGTTGAAGACCTTCCTTTTGTCACGACCGAATTCGGTGTAACTATATAGGACATTAAAAAGTTACTGGTCATTTTGCTGGAATACCCTCTTCTTCCATTTTGATCAGAGTAGAATTTAATACCATAGCGTAGTGCCATTTTTACTTCAGAACCACCTGAAAGCGGACGACATGAACTGAGTGCCTTTACAGTTACTGAGATCTCTGGAGCCCCGAAGCAAGCCAACAGACTTGGCAACTTTTTAATGTATTCTCCGACATCGAGTTCAGCATATCGCATTTTTCCAGCCACTTTGTGAAAGCATATACAACAACTAAGTAGTTTCCACCATGTATTAGGCCAGCGAAATCAACATGTAGTCTTCGCCCAGACCCGTCCAGTTTTGGCCATGGTTGGGGTTCTGCTGTAGCCCGATTCTTTGTGACTCCTAGACAGGTCCAACAGCTACAACACTTTTGTTCTATATCACGATCTATTGACGGTCAGTATGTGTAACTCCGAGCCGGTGGCTTCATTTTACTTATTTCTGGGTGTCCGCTATGGAATCGTCCTAGGACTTGATGTTGAAGAACTTTGGGAATAACAATCCGGTGGAAGAACATACACGAATCTACTATTGTCAAGGAGTCTCGCCGATGAAAGTATTGTAGAGGCCCTTCATAGAGTTGATGTGAAAGCTATTCGTTGGAAATACAAAGGCGAACGGTCTTCAACGTGTCATCCATCTCACCAGCCTCTTTAATGGCTTAGAATATGGCCGAAAGTTTGGAAATTGTGTCTGTCAACTCTGCGAGAACTTCGGCCTCAGCTTCCGTGGTAGCCAATTGATCTTGAGTGGACATCTGCCTGTCAAAAATCTGTTGTTGGTCGATAATTTATCTTGAAATCGTACTCTAGTAGTGTAGTTACCCATCGTTGTAAACGGTTTGTCATATTACCAAGGATACTCTTCTTGAATCCAAAAACTGCCAATAGCGGGTTGTGGTCTGTTAGCAGGGTAAGCTGTCTGCTAAATAACATCTTGTGAAACGTTTCCACAGCGACTATAATGGAGAGGGCTTCCTTTTCAATCTGACTATATTTCTTTTCTGTCGTTGTCAGTGATCGTGCAGCGTGAGCAATCACTAACTAAGATCCATAATTTAACGCGTCTGCTGCAACTACAACAGGAAAGGCTGGATAACAGTGCGTGAGTAAAAGGTTTGAGGGTAGGGGCTGTTTTAGTTTAGGTTTCCCAAGAAAATGACGAAGATATGTACAAAATCACCTTATGAAGAGCGTCTCCAATCACTTGACCTCTATCCATTAGAGTATAGGCGTCTTAGAGTTGACCTGATGGCTTACAGTATCCTTAAGACTTCTGGATATTCTCTTAGGCACTTACTAAAGCTTAGTCCCAACACTAACCTAAGGTGTAACACCCAGAAACTAGAGACGCAACATAGCAGAACAGACTGTAGACACAACTTCTATTCCTCAGGAGTTGTCAAGTGCTGGAATTCGCTACCCGCCGAGCTAGTCTAAGCGACTTCCTAGGAGTCCTTTAAGAGGCAACTAGATATATTCTTGAGGATTGACGACAGTATCATACTATGATTTACTAATTTCTTATTCCTCTTTTATTGTTAACATACCTGGGTTCCTGCCTGGAGGTTTTGGTGATCGACTGTTACTAGACACGGAAGCCTGTTGAGCGAAAGCATCTACTCAGTCCACAAACATTTGAAGACATGAACTAGGTGCTGAGAGGCTCGCTTATCACAAGTTTCTTGCAACGATTAAGTAGATAAAACAAAGTAGCATTAGATTCAAAAATTTATTCAAGAACTTTTATTAGGAATCGAATATCAAACAAAGGTTTAAACCAAGTTTCCGTTTACAAGTTGTGTTGGTAATGTTGAGCTGCAGTTTTTGTTGATTTTTTTCCAAACGAAAGAGTAAAAGGAGTAAATCAAAAAATAGTGGAAGTGGTTGTGAGACTAAAATGGACATTCAGCATCCTTTTTTATAATCTGTTAGTTGGGTCTCCCGTAAACAGTTCCATAGTTCTAGGGGCGAAACAGTTCTTAGGATCTGTGAAGGCCCACTCCTGTTGCATTCTAAATGAAAAAATTGTAATGAATTTAGTCAGAAATGTGGAATAGATAAATAAACAAATTACATGTTTTTCAGCAAAGAATTTATTATTATTATTATTATGCAGTTGCGATTTACCTTGAGTTCATGAATATTAGATCAGGTCAGCTACTATTACTTATGCAAAGCATAACATGGGCTTAGTACCGTATCGCAATGCTCTTATTATTTTGCTCTCATTGAAGGATTCTCATGCAGGAAGACATACAAGCAGAGTTAGTGTCTGATAAACTAAATGTCCCAGTTGTCAAAAAGATTCTTAATATTTATCCACAGACAGCTGCATCTAATCGAGACACAGAACACTCATCTTCTGCAGGCAAATTAAAGCTCAGACACTTAGCTATCCTGTTGACGATGTTATTGCTGGGGAAATTGTTTAATGACAGTGGTCTTATAACATGAACAGTGTTAGACGTACTGTCTACAAATAATCACCACACGTACTTAAAGCTGTCTTATAATATATGACAGGAACAACATCAAAGGACTTTTTTCCATATTTCTAACCAGACTGATTTGAATCAGTATACTCAGTGAAAACAGACAGCTCTACTTACTAAACTGATCCGTTTCGTTACAGGCTTTAAGCACTATACTTAAGTACACTATAATTCTATCGACTGATCTAAATTATCACGGCAACCAAGAACATTAAACTAAGCAAGTGTCATAATTATTGTTCCATTTGCACAGACATGTTGCTAAACGGAGTAAAGTGAACATAATTCAGCCGATAAAACCAAAACACGGAATGTAGGCCATTTGAACTTACGTAACAGAAGACGAAGGATACATATATATTGCTTTCAGACTGAAGACAACAGTCAGTTGTTCAAAAAAACATAGTCTACGGTACAACAAACCTTTCTTCAGTAACATCATGCACTGACGGTTTATCTGGAAAAAACAAACTATGTGATTAAATTCACTATGACTTGAGATATAATTCCAGCGTGCAATGAACGTACAGTGTAACGCAGACGGACGTGGCGAATAAAGACTTAAAACACTAAAATCAATAACATAACCTAGTTATTTAATTTAAAATAAGTTATGAAATGACAAAATCTGTGGTTACTTGAAAGCACAGATGACCGTTATTACACTGGGCGATACATTAAGTTTACATGGTTGCGTTGCGGACAAATTCACCCGTGAGTGAACAGTCCAGTGCAGACTCAGACGATGAAGTTCTGGAAGTGAAACACCATAGTGGCTAACTATTCCCAATAAGGAGTGCAAGGGTGATACATCTGTCGGTTTAGGCATCGTTTTGACAGCATCGAAGTCTTTTGGATCCGGTTTCTTCCGTTTCTGTCGGTTATTAATCCCAAATAGCGCACTTTTTTATCTTAAAGTCACGTTTTGTCGCAGTTGATCTAAATCTATAATCTGTTATGCACCTGACGAGCATATCCATATTCTTCTCTAAGTCAACGTAGTCAGTACCCATGATATATACATCAACCAGAAAGGCCACCGTACCAAGAATATCTTGCAGCATGGTATCCATAACATGTTGGAAAGTTAATGTAGTTGTCTTTGCTTCAAAAAAAAAGTTTGTTATACAGGAACGAACTTTTATACGTGTTTATATTCAGGTAGTGCGAGTATTCGACAACATCATTCCTCTGTACCATTGTAGTTTTACGTTTACATTCCCCAAGTTTGTTAGTATAGTTAACCACATTTTTTTCATTTCGAACACTCGTAAATAGGCCTCATCTCTACTTTTTGTTCCTCTTGTTCATGTAAAGATGTCGGTGTTTTGGAAGACCAAAAGTATCATTTTTATTTACCGCGCGTCATTCCACTCAAGGTCATTGCGCTCAGGTGGAAATAGTTAAGGTGACTACAATGATGAACTAGATTCGTCAGAAACTGTAGATGCCTGTGTACCTTCTGTGTATTCTGAAGTAAGTCACTGTATGCTGAAGACATCTTGGCTTACTTTTTAAAAGTTACTCAAAATTAATATGAGCAGTGGAATTTCAGATTCAGATTTGTGTGGTAAGGACAGAAGGCCTACAGCCTATGTTATTCCTTTTCTAGTATGCTTCTGTGAGTGTCCAGTCTTCTCTTGAATGAGTCAATTGAAGGTGCGGACACCACTGCTTCAGGCAGCAGGTTCCAAGTATTGATGACTCGGTGTGAAAACCTGTATGCCACGGGTATTTTGTTCGTTCTTGGCTTTTCTACTCGCCTGCTATGTCCTCTGAGGTGTCCCGATCTAGTGGGAAGAAAAAGAGAGAATAAGTTAGGTCCGAAATCATGTCTCAATATTCTGTACATCAATATTAGATCTCCCCTTAGTCTGCGATAGGACAGAGTAAAGAGGTTCAGTTTTTCAAGCCGCTCTTTATATGATAAACCCCGGAGTTCCGGAATTGCACGCGTAGCTGCCCTCTGCACTTTTTCTAGTATGTCTGAGTCACCTTTTAAACAGGGGCTTGCAGCCTAAACACAGTTCTCTAACTTAGTTCTCACTAAGGGTGTGTATAATGTGGTGAACATGGTAGTATCAAACTTAGTGAATGTCCTTTTCAAAGCCCAGAGGGTTCGAAACCCCTTGACCGCGACCTCCCGGCAATGGGCCGTCGTCTTAAGATCATTGCTCACTGTCACCTAGATCCTTATGAGACCGGACTACGGGCAATGACACATCCCCTATGTTGTATGTATTAACCTTTGAATCCCCTAAGTGCATGTAGACACACTTTCCGAGTTGACAGGCATCAGCTACTCTTTAGACCAATTTATCATATTATTTAAGTCCGCCTGAAGAGTAAATGCGTCTTTTTCTCCAGTTATTACTCGCCAATTTTTTACATCGTCAGCGTATAATAACATTGGAGACTGTACTATACTTGTAAGATCATTAACGTACAATATAAAAAGTAAAGGACCTAGGACTGAACCTTGAGGTACCCCACTAAGTACTGGTCTCCAGGTGGAGCACTTGGAATTTATTCTTATTTTTTGTCTACGACCTACTAGGAAATCCTTAATCCATTTTAAAAGAGGTCCGGCAATACCAAGGTTTGCCAACTTCAATAGCAGTCTATTAGTTGGCACCTTGTCAAAAGCCTTACTGAAGTCTATGTAGACAACATCCACTGAGTTTCCGTTGTCTAGCGCATTAATCCAGAGCTCCCTAGCTAAAAGGAGGTTCGTTGTACAGGATAGACCCTTTCTAAAACCATGTTGTGCCATGTTCAGCAAGTTATTTGTTTCCATAAATGCCGCTATGGTCCGTTTGATTATTCTTTCCAGTATTTTAATTACAACACTGGTGAGGCTTACGGGTCTGTGATTCGATGGAACTTTGTCGTGGACCTGTTTTATGTATGGGAGTGACGATTGCGTCCTTCCAGTCCATAGGTAACATACCTTGGTCAAGTGACATTTTGAATATCACAGTCAGTGGGGCTGCGATATATTGGGCTATATGTCTCAAGATTTTAGGGTGTAGTTCATCTGGTCCTGTTGACTTTTCCATATTTAGGGTGCTAAGAGCCTTAAGCACATCGTTTTGGTCGAAGTCCACGGTAAGCAGCTGGTTTGTTGACTCTGTAATTGGGTCTGGTTCTTTCTCTAGAGGAGATTCCTGAGTGAAAACTGCCCCAAAATAGTCAGCCATAACAGCTTTTTCCTGATCTTCCTCTATCAGTTCAGATTCACTTCCTACTTTAATTAGGTTGGGAATCCAATGATGAATCCTTGTTCTGTAGTTTATGTACGAGAATATCCTCTTGGGCTGCTTGAGTACAGATTGTGTCAGCTGCATTTCAAATTTTCTTTGCGCTTCCCGAATTTTAGTTATACACTCGTTTCTTATCGATCTGTAACGTTCCAGCGTACCTGCTGTGCCAAGGCGGATGGCAACATCCCAGCATTTCTTCTTTTGTCTTAGTAAGCGTCGAATATCCCGCCCTATCCAGGGATGTCCGTGCTTCTTTTTCTTTGGGACAGTCCAGGGTATGTATGGTTGAGTTACCCGATTATATAACAGCCTGAATAGAGTCCATGCCTCTTGTACTGATGCCTTTGAATCAATTTCCCAGTTCTCAGCCGATGCTGCGGAGTTAATTGCCTGCATATCTGCCTTCCATATGTTAGGACGGGCCGGCGCAATTGTTTGACAAACAATCTCAACCATGAATTTGAATAAGATGACTGCATGGTCACTTCTCCCAAGTGGTGGAAGGAAAGCCGTTTGACCAACGTCATCGCCATGCGTGAAGACTAAATCTAAAATAGAAGACGAGTTTCTTAAATCGTATCTTGTGGGATCTCTAATGTGTTGTAATAATGCTAGTCCAATCGAGGTTTCTAACAGTTTGGAGTCGAACGACGATATGGCTGACCCTACTTCTAAGTTTACCCAGTTTATATATGGTGCATTAAAGTCGCCTAATACAAGGCTTTTACCGTTGTTACACCAGGACTTAAGTTTACTTAGGAGAAAATCATCTGCTACACTTTCTGGACTGCGATAAACTACAACTACTTCAATATCTTGCCGTCGGCATTTCAACTTACATCTCACTAGTTCACATGTCCCTGAAACATGTGCTACTGTCTCAGCTAATCTTATGGTTAGGGTACTTTTCGTGTACACAATAACCCCGCCTCCCCTTCGGTTTAATCTATCAGCTCTACTGGTTATGAAACCAGTCAACTGGATTTCACTATCTAATACTTCTGACGTTAACCAAGTTTCCGAGACAGCGATAACGCCCGGTTTTTCCTTATCCACCACTGACTTCAGCTCCGCCATTTTATTTAGTAGGCTGCGAGCATTTGTGTAGCACACTTTTAAGTCTGTGGAGAACTTTCCCTTGCCACCCAGAGTGGCTTGGGGATCGTTTTGCTCCGAACTTTTACAATCTGAAAACCCTTAAGAGCGAGATTTCTTTCACCATTTCGGCGACGCTCGTTTATTTCCGCTTCTGCATCTCTTCTCTTAATACGATCAGCTAGGCTGAGATCCTCACGGACATATATTCCGGATCCAATCAGTTTACGTGAATTACTTAGAATCAGGTTCCTTTCTTCCACCGTATTGAATGTAACCTTTAGGAGGCGGTTTTTCTGAGGACTTTCGGAATCCACCTTTTTTCCTATTCTATAAAACTTACAAATACTAACTCCTGAAACTGTATCTGGGAGTAGTTTACTTAATGATGTCTTAATATGATTGAGATCATGTTCAAATCTTGCCTTTGGTTCAGTATCCGAAGATTCTCTTATCTTATGAAAAATGACTGATCTATCAGAGAGATCTGTCTTGTCACGCGGTGAGGATTTTTCTTCTGATAACACCCCTTCCAATGTCTTGCTGACCAGCTGCGCATTGCCTACAGCCTTTTTATTTTTATTTTTTTTCCTTCTTACCGAAGTCCATCTGTCGCCACTCAGAACAGCCACACCTGGACTATGTGGAACGGTGACAGTTTTATCCGGATCTTCTATTTCGACTAGAGGTGTATGACTGCCGATGTCAATATCAAGCGACACTTCATTCCTCGTTAATGTCAACAGAGATTTCACGTTCCCGTCAACCGCGGTCAAGTGTTTAACGGGTCCAGTAGCAGCACTTACTACATTGCCACATTCTTCATCGTCAGTGCTCCTGTTATCAGTGCTTCCGCCGTCGTTTTTCTTGCAGGCCAAAGCCAATAGGCCCATAGCCTCCTGTATTGGTACCTTTTTATCCGTACAGCAGAACATACAAAGCCAATGCGAGTTAGGCTTCGAGCATCTTTTGTAAGCCGTCGGACTTAGTCGTGTACACATTTTGTGGTACCACTTTTTACAATCGTCACACTGCATCCCCTCCTCAACGGAGAACAAACAATTTGGTTGCCCACATTTGTGAGTCTTACCAACCATTGTAATTCGATTTAAGAGGTTTAAAAACAAAAACGATAACAATGTGAGCACAAGTGTTAGTCAAGGACTAAAAACAGGTACTCAGGACAAAATTTAGCAAAAAATTTCAAATTTTAACCAAAGTACTCTTAGTTAAAGTAGACCAAGAATGCTTTTTAGTGCAATAAGTACCCAAAGCAAGTATAATCACAACTAGTACAAAAATCACTGCCCTTTTTGAAACGAGCGCTCAACAATCCATAAGATTTTAGGCAAAGCGCAGTTTAGACTTAAGTCTAGCCTGCCTAAATTTAGGTAGGCTTCCTCAAAATTCGCAGAAAAACCCGGAAATCCGTGTCGTCTAGCACCCCAGGAAAACAGTTAACAACCATTGTACTTCTTAATCTTTTCAAGATGAAGTTGCAATTATTAACAATACCCAGTCTCCCGATTCGGGGGAAAGTTTGCTCCGTTTACGGGAAATTTTGGGGGAAACCGCTATAGAAAATTCTTAAGAAATAGCACCAAAACCCTGAACTTTCCACAGATGTGGGGAAATTCCCCAAATTTTCGGGTTTTTCTTCAATATTTTCCTAAATTTCCCCAGAATCTTATCATATTTAGGGGAAATCGGTCTATATGTCAATAAAACCACAAAACTCTCCACAATTTTGGGTAAATTTTGCGTTCTTCTATGATATTTTCCCTAAACTTCGGGGATTTCTCCTATGTTTCCCCAGAATCCCATTACACTCTGATGGAATCCGTCTATATTTATGAAATCGCAAAATTTTCCTCAATTTCGGTGAAATTATCCAAAATGTCTCGTTTTAACGCAATACTTTTCCACATTTTTCGACAGATATCACGAAAAAGCCTGGCGATAATAACTGTCTAAAAGTTTCTACTCATGTATTCTATTTTTTCCTGTCAATCACGCACAGTAAACTTAGTGCCAAAGAAACCTAACTATAGTTGTTAACAAAAATCAATCTATCGCTGTGGTTAAAAGAATGATTCGTCACGCATTCAAATGTTTATTGAAGTTTAACAAATTACAAATTATTCTCTAATACATCATATATATCATATTAAACAATATAATTAATATGATAATGAAGTTCAGTCAGCTTTACAGTACCAACTTTTAGGTTTTGTTTTAGTATGTCAAATAGACACACCACTTTTTCAAGGATCTTACGTCATGCAGGCGAGTTGTTCGCACTGTCACAGACTTCAGTTACTTCTGTCCAACCTGACTGCAACTAATTGATCCTTTTAGACTAGTAATGTTAGACGTAAGGAATGGGATAAGAGACGGGTTACAGCCAACAGTGTCAAACTTGATGGGCTTCCACCGATCCCAAAATCCGCCACCGCCTCCTGTACTTACGTACATTGTGCACCCACTGCAACAAACGGTGGTCTTAATTTTTTTAAATTGTAGGTGGTCCCACTACCGAAAGATCTCTGTCTGTTTATCTCTAAATGAAGCAACAGCTAGACATAGTTGTAATTCAGATAATAAAGGGAAGTCACATAATTGTATACAAGGCTAACAGAATTCTAGACCTTTTTCGGGTGTATATTCCTGAACTGTCCATGTCCTTCCGAAGTGTACTTAGTCGTTGCTATAGTGGGAAACCCAAGTTTCTGAACACAGAATTGTACTACTGCATTAGACTGAAGTCAAGTTTACTGAGGATTTTCGAAGATTGGCTAGGTAAATTCAGTTTTAACGAACTGAATATGCAACTCAGTTATGACGGCCTGTCGTCCAAAAGCTTTAATTAACAGTTTTGATCAATCCTAGGTCGCCTAGTAAGTCCATTCCTTAGTGAAGTATTCATAGTTGGTGAAGTAAAACTCTGTTTTCAACGAAATGTCCGTAGCGCTTGTAAATGAGTTAAAGGAGTTGCATACAGTAGGCCTTCACGTAAATAAGTGTCAATTACATTTGACAGTAAAGTTAGTAGCTGTTATTTGTGACACTGCAACTCGTAGCAACGTCAGGTATGTCGTTGGACATAATACAACTGGTTGTGATAAATGTAAGGTTCTAGGGACACGACTAGGTGGTTGAATAACTTTCCCCAATAGTGAATATGAATCGAGAAATGCGCATAAAATTTTGGACATTTAGCCTGATCTAGAGAAATAGTAGACTTGTCTTTAACTGCATTCATCAAGACACTTTAGGATACATCCAGTGTCGTTCACTGCACACTCATGTTCATCAATCAGCACTTTCTTACTAATCTATGCAGAATCACGGTCTTAAGGTTTTATTTGCCTACAATTATTGTTCGGAATTGCGATAGTGTGACTGCTGCATACGACATCAACCCATGCACTTCCAAAACAACTTGTTTGTGTATTAACTGCGAATTAAAATGTGCAGGAATTGTGCTTACTAACACCAGAAATGTATAAATTGGACGTTGATGTCGTTGAAATGTTTCATAATGGGGCCGAACTTTCCGAATAAATTGTTTGTTACGCATATACCAACATTCCCACCTGGATGTACTGCATTAAATCAAATGTTACGTATTCGGTAAAAGTTGTGTAAATTATTGTTAGTTTAAAATAGGAGACATTACCAACCCCTAGTTATGTCTAATAAACGCCGTATAAATCGCTAACGTCTATTTCTTTTCAGCTAAGTATAATAATACTTGCTGGTTACAATGTAGACATGTGACTGGTGTCCTAATATTGTGGACATTTTTACAAACTAGAATTTATGAGAATAATTGGTTTTGTACAGATGATTCGTAGGTAAGTTAGTTTCCCTGAAGAAATACTAGCGAATGTCGAAAATATTCAATCTATAAGTATACAACTTGGTGTGAATTTAAGTAAAGTTTCACTATTTTTTACGCTCGGCGAAAAGGATGGAAATCTGAGGCCTTGTTGCCTAAATTTACAACAAATTTCTCATTGAATACCGCTTTCATTTTCTTTTTTTGTCGTTATTTGGTAGAAATTCAGAAATACAAATGCAAAGGACAGAGACTACTTCAACAAATAAAAATAGATACAAGCCATAAATTGGCCAACATTTTCGTCCGGTTTACTGCTTTTTTTATCCTAATTGATTTTTAATTAATCTTACCCCGCACATTATTGACGTATCTTTTTGTTTAAGCATCCAGTTGACGATAAGTATTCCTTATCACTCCGTACATACTCTATATATTTAATAGGTAAATCGGCTGTCAGAAATACGTAAATTAAGTAATAACTGAGGTTATCAATTCCAGTTTTTTGTGGTGTCCAATATAATAAATTTATTATTTAATGTCAACTTTACAACAGCATATGTCATGAATTTTAACGACGGTTTTGCTTCATAGACTTACTTTTATTACTGTACGCATGATATTTATTTATTTAAACACAAAAATTGGTACAAGGGTCACTAAATACATATGCGCCACACAATAACAATGAGGTTATGGAAAGATAGAGAATATAGATAGTGTATAATAAAAGAACAACAACAAACCAAAATTAGTGTACGAGAGTGAAATGGAATCATGGGCTTAGTCTTTTAAATCAAGTTTTCTCAATGGTTACCTCTAGTCTCTGTCTTAAAATTATACTGTTGGATTCACCTCTATATGGTAGATAGATACAAACTTTTTTCTTCGGAATCGAATAAATGAGAGGTCTTAGCGTTGACTGACTTTTGCACCTATTTATAAACTTTAGTGAATAACCACTTGATATTAGTGTGTCAATCAGCAGCTTTTCATCTCCTTCAACCGTATCAGTGGTGCATAATCTTTGAATCCTATTAAAGAGGCACATAACCAAGCCTCGCTTGTGTTGAAATGGAAAGAAACTATGGAAATTAAAATATTGCCGCGCTTAAGTTGGTTTCTTATAAACTGACCGTCTCATAGTACCATCCTCCCGTCGATTCAAAAGTATGTCTAAAAAGGGTAATTGGTCATTATTTTCTGCTTCATAGGTCATTACGATATCTTTCAATACCCCATTGAGTTTATCTAATAACTGGTGAACTTGAAAATCTTTATCACATATAACTAATGTATCATCCATGTATCTTCTATATAAAGTTACTTCGCTAATGAGTTCACTTATCATATTTTCAACATATGACATAAATACATCAGCTAAGAGAAGCCCCAAAAGACTACCCATAGCAACATCATCAACTTGTCGAAAATATTCGCATTCAAATGTGAGCTGAACATTTGCAGTACGTAACAAAAGTAATTATTTCAATAGTGTTGACTGAATAGGAAAGAGGGGTAATTATTAGATATATAATCACAAAGGAAATTCACAGTCTTAGTCAATGGTACACTTGTAAAAAGAGAGTTTACATTAAAGGAATGCAAAGCCTTATCTTTAATATTAATGTCCACAAGAAGATTAGTTAGTTCAAATGTATATTTTAAGGAAAACTTACATAGCCTATTACGGATTGGGCTTAGCAATTTTACAAGCCATTTTGCTTGTTATGTGTAAGTGAACCACGCTAAGATAATTTTGGTCGTAATGGATTATTATTAGGTTCATGAATTTTAGGCAACCCATATAAATTCAGGAGGACAGAACCGGAAGGCTTCAGCATATTCGTTTTCTATTTTACTCTGACTTCCAAATTAAAAGCTTTTCATCGTACAACCTCATGGATTCCCTTTTGAATTGTACATTTCTCTTTTTTAGGTTTCATTTGATACTAACTCTTGTCCTCTGCATTTTGTCTCATAAACATTCTTTTGCTATGCTTATATATTTAACGATTTGTGCCGATACACCATCCATGCTTGATAGTCCCATGTTGATGAATAATTGTCTTAGTTTTAAAGTTTAAATCACTAACCAAACAGTTGCACAATCGTTGAAATCCGAGAAGGTTGTGGATACTCACTATTGAAGAATTTCATACTAAAACGAAACAGTGGTTCAGTTATTTCTAGTTTTCAGTGGTTATTTAACTGAGATTATTCTTTTGTGTAACCTATGAAATCCGACATTCCCCCATAAATCCCTCGCACTAACAACTTACTGTTTGATTTTTTTTAGTCCCACTTATAAGTGTCGTCTGTCATTCAAACAGTTGATTTTCTCATCATATTTTGCTTCAAAATGTATGTATGTCTATCTCTATGACAACCCAATAAATATAAAATAACACTGAACAAACAAAAGTTAGTTCCGATTAATGAATCGATTAATTAAAATCAGACGATTATTTCGAACATATACATTTTTACATATTTTTCTAAAAATAAACGTTTTATCAGTTTTCATATATTTTCTTCTAACCATAATTAACAACTATCGATTTCCCAATATAAATTATCATGCATCTACTGTACGAGATCGTGAAGAATTACAATTAGCTCATCTACGCACATTAATGTACGATTGGTACCATCAAGGAAAAATACCGTTTGTTTACCAACCACCACAATCATCATTGTCAATTTTAAGTAATAAACATGGTATTGTCATTAGTATCATGACGTCGAATCGTGTTCAATATCAAATTGATGATTATCAACCGGATTATTTAACTCAGTCTTTATCAACCTTAATTAAACTAATATTTGAAGATATTTCAATGTATGGTTACCGATTTAAATATATCAATATAATGATCTGTTTGAATGGAACCAAAATAGATGAATTGTCTAATGTACATGAAATTATACGACTTGTTGGTCAGCATGCAATTCATCCATTGCGCTCTAATGAATTATCAACTTATAGGAATTTATCTGTTAATTATCAATTTGTGAGAGATATGTCAACCTGTATGCTGAAATCAGTTGATTTAGTTAAAAAACAAGAACATAATCATAGTGATTATATACTTATCATACAAGAAGATATGATTGCAATGAATAATTTATTTGATGTACTATGGGGATTAATGCAACAATCTATGAATAATATTCGTCATTATCATGATCATCATAGACTTGGTATGATCCAATTGTATTCACATAAAAATGTAATGAAATTTCCATTTTATCATAAAATTGATAGACAATTATTTGAGTTAACATTTGCTTGCCTACTATTCATTACATTCATTGCATTTTTTATTTATTTACATGTAGCATTTAAACAATCATCATCGCAGTATGGATTATATAAATTCTATTTAATGCTTAACTTATTCTTTACATTGTTTACTTTAATTTGGTTGTATGGATTGAATAATTTATTGATTCGATTATCTAATTTGTTTATCTCTTATAATGGTGTTTTTCAACTCAAAAGCCAATCATTCTACGCTAAAACTGATATGATTATGGCTAATTTGTATTCAAGTATACAAGTTAGACAAATCAGTCATTATTTAAAATCAGTTGCACCATGTGAAAATTCCTTATGGTATTTAAAACAGGATGAATCAAAATGTGCTCAATTGATTACATCATATCTTGTATCAAATGCTAAACAAATATTTAGTGTATATATGAATGTATTTAAACATTGTGGATTGTATTCGAATGAAGAAAAAAGAATGCTGAATCCAGCTGATATCGAATAATATTGGTAGTAATAGTGTGTTGTGTCTTTCTTGAATGGTTCTTCGCTACCCAGATATAGATTTTATTTTGTTAAGTTTTGTACTCTCGTTTTTTTCCCTTTCCGTAAACGGTGTGTGTCTGTCACAACTTGTCATCGTATCAACCCCGACCGTAACTGTGAGCATAAAGTAGTGGTCAATCTTACATATCATGATGACCCAATTGAATTATATCGTCTATGACATTTGTCCCAACATACTGAGTAGGTCAGTTAAAGAGCGATTAGACTATAAGCATCAAACTCATGGCCAAGGAAAAAGTCGTACTGGGATGTGACAGTAGTTATGTGCTCCTCATCAACAAACAGCACGATAGCTATCTTGCGTCTTTACAACAGATAAAGCGAGTTTGAAAAGATTGGGTGTTATAATCTCTTTCTTACGGTTATGACCCAGCTATTCCTATTGCTTAGTATTCTCAGACACCGATTCACTCGACAAGTCCCCAAATCAGAACACGGTTGAACAGGAAAGAGATTATATTCCAAATAACAAGGTTAGATGGAAGTAAGAAGCCAGTAGGAAGCACAATAGAGAAAACGTCAGTATATTTATAGTTTTTACATGAGAAGATTCTAGAGTATTCTCCAACTATCGACTAGTGCTGATTGGATAAGAATTAGCCAATCACCGTGCACCAAAGCAATCATGCATTGAGCATGCTTTAATCCATCCTATGTCCCGCTAACATTGGGATTAGATATAGCTAAAGTACAGAGGTAACATTAAAAACAACTCGCTAAAAGCCCGTGTATAACCGATCTGAAGTTTTCATTTAACTGCTGCAGTCGCTCTCCTAGATCATCAAAACTACTACTAACCCAGTTTCATTTTCAGGTGCCTCAGAAGCAATTATCCATGCACTAAGTGAACAACCGCAAAGTGAAAACCGCCGTCATACCCTGTCACTCAATATTACGTTGTTCACAATTGAACATCATCCGTGCTACCTAATATTTCTATCATTACTATCCATCCTTATCTGTCTTCAAATTCTTCCACACGTATCATCAACACTAATGGTTCGAGTTCAAAAAATTCTATCCCAGATTCCCTGAAACCATCCTCTAAACTACATGGTATAAGTTCGAGGGTCCTAATTCGAATAGTAGGTATCACTAACCAGTACTCTATAAGTCTTGTGACATCGATCGATGTTGTCTCCAAAAGACAGAGAATCTTAACGTAGTTTTTCACACTATCACAGATACCATGATTATCTGAACTCCTTTAATACCTAACTTGTCAACTTCCTAGCACAGTGTAGATCAAGAGTCATTGTTTTCATTGCTTAACAACTAATATCTAATTTCTTTTGTTTAAAGGGAAATTAACATGTAATAACAGAAGTGAAAAATAATAGTAATTTTCAGTTATGCAGTTTTAAAAATGAAAATAGACCATTCGGTTTTTTCTTATATCCGTTCTCCCTGATTACGTCATTTATCCATTTGGCGAAGTAAGAAACGCGTGTGAATATTGCCGGATAATCAGCGGGCAGTTTGGAGTGTGTTGCTGAAACAATACCAGCTAATCTGTATTCACCATCATCTTCACAGACCAATGGTCCACCACTGTCACCCTAAAAGATAGTTTTTTTAAAGATTAATTAATGTGGTCATGGCATTCAAAACTGAATAATCAATGGTTTGTCCTATGATCTTGAATTTTACACTTGATTATCATTGGTTAGTTGACAAATAAACAGTCGTAGTAATTTGGTTGAATAATCTATATGTTAACCACAAACATGGTTTTCTAATAAAGATTTATAAATTTCATTTAGTGTTTCTATCTCCTGAAGTCTACTCAGTTATGATTCAGAGATTGTACCAATGATCAGATTATCACTCCGGTCACCTCAGTCATTCCAGTTACAACTTTATCAATTCCGGTGGGCTATTATAACAAATAACACATTCACATAGCCTTCATGAAGGAATATGTTCTCATATTATTTTTGTAAATGAAAATGCTACACCTAATGAATACAGTTTTCATGCTACGTTTCTGCCCAACTCAGACAATTGGTTCGGATTTCATCGATGAACTTTAACGTGTAGTGACTTTTTCTCTTAAAGGTTTTGATCGATATCTTTTACAACAGAGGGATTGAAATAATTTTGAGGAAATTTCTCGCTTTCAGTGTAGTTTCCCAGAAATCATAACTTATTCTATAAAACCTTCACCCTAAAAGTCGATTAGTATAGTTAGATTTTCAAAAACTTAAACAAATTTTTCGATAGGACTGGAGTTCTATGATTTTCTTCAATTGACCCTAGTGTAGCTAAAACTAATCCTTGGCTTTGATAAAGCTTTTCGAACAGCTTGTGAGGACGTTCCTCTAAGCTAATACCCACGATTGTTATGAAATCATATCATCTTTACGAACTTTTTTTCACAAAATAAAGCTCCGACTGAAATGGAACCTACACAGATCAGTCATAATCTGAGTAGATGCTTACAAAAATTTGCATTAGCTTGAGTTGACGTACCATATTAGCATGACAAGTTGAAATTGACAAGATAAATAGTCGAAATAATCGTAGTATCAATGATACTAAAGATTATTAAGTATTAAGAGTATGGTTCAAGAAAGCGTACTGAAAAGGTATGCACAAAGGAATACTGAGACTCAAGATCTAGAGGAAGATGAAAAGTGAGTTCATATACACCACTATGAGTAACTCCAACCACTGGTTGTGGTTACTGACCGAACTCCAGTCTAGTAGTCTGGATCTACCAACATGCCTCAGACTGACAATGACTGACTCTATAATCTGATGTTACATCTTGATTTGGTCTCCCCTGTCTATACAAATGATGCTAGTTAAGCCAATCAAAATATCAACCTACAACTGGATCCAAGTACAAAAAAAAACGAACGAAATGCTAACTGACTTTATAAACGAACAGTGGCAAAGACAATCAGCAGTGGTTGATAGTTATTAAAGTACATTTGAGAAACTAGTCTGAAAGTAATAATAATTACTAAATGGGATCATCAAGCAATCTAAAAGAATTGGTAATTTTTCAAGAAGCCTATTATCTGGTCTCTGAAGCATTATATTTATTTGATAGAAGCTTTAGGACCACAACCGTAGAGAAATTATAATCTGTTGGCACGACTGTTTGATTTTCTAGGTGTTTGTGCATAGATAATTTGGTAACTGGAACAAATACATGTATATATTTAAGTTGCCACGCTTCACCTCGATATAGTGTGATGAGATCATCAGGTAAGTGAATGAAAATACTATCATCCGCTAGAGGGTAAGAACAATATATATGAAATATTTTAAAATTAATAATTACATTTTCTCAAATTATATGAAACTCACTATACCGCAGGTGGTTAATGGCCTTATCTTAATCCTTCATAATCATATTTGGAATTGGCATGCCCTTATATGCTCTACAGTGACCCAATTTTATATGTCTACAACAAAAACTTACTATTACTTTCACCAACAAATGAGTAAATTTGTGCGTTTTTGTCGTATAAATTGTGAATTTTGCAATGAAGATTGTGGAATAGCTGTTACTTGGTAGAATACTCTTGTTGTTTTTATGTTTTATTAGCTGAGTATCTGTTAAGTGATCACCACGGGACCTGAAGGTCCTGAGTTAAATCCTTGACGAAATCATTCATTCACAATGCTAAGAAGAAGATGAAACAGCGACCCAGTTCTCCCTGGTTGCTGCTACCTTGACGTGGTGGTCGAGCTTGCCTATCATGATGAACCAATCGAGCTATACTTTCTGGAACAATCGTTCCTTAATGTCCTACCATGCAAGACAGGTCGGCTGAAGAGCTGTAAGGTCTGAGGTCGAAGTCGTACTGCTGACTGTACAGAAGTAGTGAGGGCAGCAAGGTGTTTCCTTCGGACAATCAGCATAACAGCAATACTGCCTTCCCACAAGGAAGGGTGATGTTGGAAAAGGTCGACCCAGAAAATACACAATTCACCTTATCCCACGGATTTCCGTCTCCGGCGGCAAGGTCCCGACAAGTATGAAGCTAACACGAATAGTACTCACAAAAAGGTCGTATGTAACCGGCCTCAAGCAATTGTCCCTTGGGCACTGCGGTCACGCTTTCAGGTCACTAAGACCACCTCTAACCCAAGTTCCTTTTCAGGTATCTCTAAAAGAACTCTCCCATGATTCGGGCAACCGGGGAGTGATAACCACCCTCATACCTCTAACAGTACTCAAGATCACTAACTTCATAATCAATCTCCCTCTTCAATACCTATTATTCATCCTACATCGACTTTAAACTCTAGAATTCCTCTTTTGACTTCTTCCTCAAATATCACCATGGCCAACGATTCCAGTGCGCGAAATATTGTCCCAAGTCTACTGAAACCTCTCTCCAGACTACACGTTGGAGCCTTCAACGTACGTACCCTATGTCAAATCGGCCAGCGATTTTCATTGGCTAATACCCTACAATTTCATACCATTGATGTATGCTGTGTTTCCGAAACAGGCATACAGGATCCTAGTGTGGTCTTTCACTTAACCTCATCTCGCCAAAATGGGGAGCCGACGAGATACATCCTTCGTTCATCTGGCGATCAGATGGCTAGCTCGAATGGACTGACGGGTGTAGGAATACCACTAAGTACGAGGGCAGAACAAACTAAAGAGCTCCGTAAGAACCCAGAAAGATATGGACTTACGTTGTTGCCTTTTCGCTGTTTCTGCCTACGCTCCCACTAACTGCAGCCCAGATGAAGTGAAAGATGACTTTTACAGAAAGCTTTCTGAACTTCTTCATAAAGCTAAACGCTCAGACAGTACTCGTAGCAGATAACTTTAATGCCCAGGTAGGTAGCTTGAACCAAACAGAAATATATTTAGGGGTGCATTTTAGTATTCCGGCTCATCGAACAGATAATGGTGATCGTCTGCTGCGATTGTGCTCAGACAATAGTTTGTTTTTAGGGAACACTAATTTTAAGCATAAGGAGAGACATCTTCTAACATAACGATCCCTTGCATCAAACCAACGACGGACTCAAATGGACCATATTGCCACCAGGCATCGTTGGAGAGGTCCTATAGAAGACCACCGCTCGTTCTGGAATACATGTTTAGACTCTTATCATGCTATAACACGAGCACGCATTTGATTGAGCCTCACTGGACGCAGAAAAAACACATTAAGAAGACCCGATAGAGTCAAACTCAGTGAGGAGAAAGCCGAAAGCAGATTCCAGGAACAACTAAGGCAGTTCTGAAAACGAGAATGGCCCAGATGTTGCTTGGAAAGACATACGAACAGCTGTAGAAATAACAGATATCTATTAGTGATTTGAACCAAAGGGTCATGAAAAACCAGTGGATTTCTACTAATATAGGAGTTGTGGAGATTATTAAGTTTTTGATTGAGATCATGAACCAATTGATGTTAGACCATCACAATTGAAAACCTGGAAGCACTGGACGGCCGTTTCGCCCTGTTGTGGGACTCCTCAGCAGTGCGCATCCACGATCCCGCGAGCGGGCTTCGAACCCAGGGCCTCCGGTCTCGCGCGCGAACACTTAACCAACTTGACCACTGAGCCGGCATCCAATGGTGATAGTTTCTAACATCAACTAATCCACGAAATTGCGCGATCAACTTCCATTGTACTGAGGTAGATAACTGTCTCTACCCGACAAGGATTAGCTCCACTGGTCACGGCTTCTCACTAGAACTCCGAGAATTCCCTCACGAAGCTAGTCGCTAGTAAGCACATGTTGATTACTAGTATAGGAGTTGTGGAGATTATTTCTACTAAGTCTATTGCACCAATAGATTCTAGTAAACATACCCCATCGGGCTCTGAACACGATAAAGAGCGAAAACAAGCCAGATCTAGGTTAAGCAAAAGTTTAAGGAATGACCGTAAGCAGTTGTGAACAACGGAAGCAAAAGAGAAAGAAAAGGCAGCACCTTTTGGTAACACTGAGCAACAATGACAAGATGTTTGGGATGTATTTCTGTCCCTCTAAATGTAAGTTGCTGCTTCAGGACAGGTCTGCGTCAACACCTGAACTAAGGATAGGGAGTGATATAATCGAACACAGCAGAAACATCACTTATCTTGGAAGTTTGATAATCCCTTATTGGTTGGTGTCTGACGAAATCGCAGCACGGATTCAAGAAGTTCGTTTGCTTTTTCCAAATTACGTCACGTATGGCGAAGGCGAAATATCCGTCCATCAATTAAAGGACAAGCATACTGCGCAGTAGTTCGTTCTGTTTTTATTTACGGCTGAGAAACGTGCACATTAAGAGTATAAGATGCTCGCAGGTTACTAGTACTTGATCACAGATGTCTTAGAAATATTGCTCGCACCTTCTGGGACCACCGGGTAAGTAATAGTGAGGTTAAACACAGGGTATTAGCGAAGGATGGTAAGCCAGTTGATGAGGCTGTAAATCCTCGTCGACTGAGATGACTGGGCCACGAGTTACGTATTACCACGAAGAGCAATTCCGGGTAGTGTTGGAGATGGTTGGAAGAAAGTTAGGGGCGGCCAAACCAAAACGTGGCATCAGTGCTTGAGGTCACTAACTTCTAGTCTGAACCATCTTGGTAGATGCAGACAACTTAGTTGAGGTCCGCGTGACTATCGTAACCAATGGTTGAAGACTCTTGGTGACATGGCTCAGAATCGATCACAATAACGTCGGTGTATGCACACTTTTTCTTCTCTTAAACCAAAAGATTAAAAGTGTTTAATGCCTTTATTTCTATGAACTAATTCTTTCTTCCTAGATTATATCCTTATACACAATCTTTGTTTTATAAATTACACCACTGAGTTAACTGCTTCTATGAATTTGATGCTCATCTTGTACTAATGAGATAAGGCAACTTGGACCGACGCATATATGCACCTGGTCCTACGTTGTAGCTTACGAACTCACTGAGTACAAGAATTGAAATAAATCTATGGAAAATACCATATATGTGTTTCAGTGACTGTGACGAGTCAATGATATCATACTTCAGATCTACATTTCTTAACGTATTTTTTAACTTTTTACAGTATTAATTCATTTTGCATTGTTTGTTTGAATCTTCTCATCGACATATGTGAATTAACACAATATCGAGGCAATCCGCACAGGATGCACATATGCCAATAAGAGACTGATCAATTGCAATCTTAAACATCATTAGGAAAATTCAAACAAACAATATAAAATGAATTAAAACTTCACCCCACTGCACAAGCTAGTGACCATCAGGACTCAGTAGCTAAGTGGATAACATGATGGCGTTTGAAGCGAACGATACCGGGTTGTGGTTCCGGAGTAAATATCAACTCTGTGATGCAGGTACATCCAGCTGACGAGTCCCAAATAGGATGGAGAGCGCGTTCTGGATTCCACTGCTAGCCACCATCCATCTTTGCTTTTACAGTATTGTTGTTTTCTAAAAATAGCTTATCATTCGATTTGCCATAAACTAACTACAAATAGCTTTCTCTTTAGTTCTATAGTTCAATTTGACTGAACCAACTGATTCAGTCGTTCATCACCCCTTGTTCGTTCAACTGAATTACCATCGGTTCTTGTTGTGGTATGTTCATTGAATTATTAGATCATTCTACTTAAAATTTGTGTTGATTCATCGATATTTAAACTCGCTAAATAAAATTACGATTAACTACAAATAAGTGATATTTAAATGATTCAAAAAGTATCATTAGTAGTTACCTAGGTCTAGATCGGTGTTTTTTAGCCAATCAGTTAAACATTCCAACCAATATTACTCAAATTGTCATAGCTTACATATTTTGAACATTGATCGCTTGAATTATTATTGGCTGATATAGTGTTGTATTGTCCATATAAAATCGGCCATACCAAATACATACAAATAAAATCACACCTAACTAGGCTACATAAGACAGAAAAAATAATATGACCAAACAGCATGAATAATACTGTGAAGTCTGAGATTCAGAATTTGTTCACGTTACTCCATAGACAGTGACTTAAATGTCGGCTGAAACTATTTGACTAAAAATTAATGCCATTCACATCTTTAACATTTGTTATTGAATAGCTAGAATAGATTTTCCAATTCATTCAACTTACTGGACATACACCTTTACCAAAGTTATGGTAACCTGCACAGAATTCATGTTCTTCCGTTAAATTAATATAGGCTGAATACATTGACATGCATGTTTTTGATTGTAGAATTGGAAGTTCTACAGCTTGAATTTTCAGTGTTGGTGGCCCGTCGACAAAACTACATCCCCAACCAACAGCTACACATTTCTAGATAAGGAGAAAAAAAATTTGAACCACATAGAACAGATATGTTTGTAATTAGCGAACTTCAGAAAGTAAATTGATGAGGATATAATGTTATGTGGTCCGATCCTATCCACAGTGCATGCGTCCCAACCACTTACACGACCGGTTGTGCAAAGAAAGATGATTAAGAGTGCATAGGAATCGTGAATACCCAAGGTCAAATGCATGTGTACAAATGTCAAACATGTATATACAGTAGTGAACGGAACTACATAAGTAAATACGGGTGGTGATCCCTAGTCAAATGAATAACACAATAATCTACACTTAGGTGCATTTCTCAGATGTCATTGTGGCAAGATTTGATTTATCAGGGATTGTCGGTGGTATCAGAGGATTTTCACCAAAAACACTGAATAACTGTTGTGTTGTAGTTTTTGAGTTGTAAGCAAATACAACCACTGACATCAAGCATATAATGAATTAAATAACAATCCACCTATGGTGAATCATAAATTTATTTGCCGAGATTAAAGATGTGAATCAATGAATTTCAAATCAGTGGCTTAATTGTAATGTGTGTTCACTACTAGACGTGAGAGCTTTAAGAAAGATCCCATGCACGATATATAATGCATATCGATAATGATTATCAGAATAAGATTGACCAATTCGCATTATATATGGTATGTAGCCAACAATAGAACCCAGAGTGCACACTTTGTTTGATCTAGAACTTGTCAGCCGGCTGTACCAGAATCCTAGTAAAGATTTTCACCATGAAATTCAGATGACATATAAGTTATCCAATGTACTTCCTAACTTATATGAAGAAATGATGGTTCAGTGATTACTGATTTTCAAAAGTTTTCCAACAACATATATTATTAATGTTTTCACAGGATAATACGGATTTTAAAAGTAATCTAGACGTTTTACACTATTGCTACTCGTGAAACGCTTGCTTAATATACAAGTTGGTTCGATCGATAATTCGCAGTAGATGTAAATACTGAAACTCTACAAACAACAATCGTGGATGCGCACTGCTGAGGAGTCCCATTCTAGGACGAAACAGCCGTCCAGTGCTTCCAGGTTTTCCATGGTGGTTCAGCTGCCATTGACTCATGAACTCAACTATAAAATTACTATAACACACATAACACCCCTTCCTGATGACAATACATATTTTAAAATTCTAAAATTAACTGATTTTCCCTAAAAATGGTAAACAGTTCTGTTTTGAAATTTGACCAGATGTTAGTTAGCCTCAGATTTAGGTTTCAGACTAATTGGCATTTAACATCAAAGTGTACCTGCAATTCTAAGAAAACTGTTAATGCAAGTACATATACATACATATATTAATTAAAGATGACTTCGTGAAGTTTTTGAAGTCGTGAGTTGGCTCCTGTATATAATATCATGTTCATGAAAACTAACGAACACGAAACTGGAGTCCAAGCGATTCTGTTGATTTCGTCTAACTTCCTTACATAGTACAGTTGATGTCAATTCTTTATACTGGTGGTAACATTGTAGTTTTAGTTACAAAATTTGATTAACACTCAGGATTAGAAAAACAAAATATCGTTTAAAAATCTTAACAATGCATCTTGTATTCAAATAGAAAGTTGTCTTTCACACTTTCACCCAAAGACTGACATGCATTTTGTAGAATCATCTCAATTAATTTTCCAGGAAACATAAATTACACCAAGAAATCATAGCCCTCACCTAATAGAAATTTGCTTTCTCTTTCGTTCTCATGATTCATTTCGATAAATTTCACAGTTAGTCAGATTTAGATCTTAGAATTAATTGTCCTAAAGCATATTGATGTCCATTACCAATCGCTTAAATCAAAAACCATTGATGAAATCTTCACTGTTTATAACTCTTATATTGATAGACCAATATAGATTGCTCACTCATTATCAGTGGTTCTCCATATAATGTCAAATTGTAGGTTCAATAAACAGCTCATATTTCTTTTATCACACTTCTGATAAATAATTCCTCTGAAAAGTAATTTTCTTCATGAAATGAAGTTATCTAGAGTAGCACTCATAGATAATAAGCACTGTATCCCTATCCCACATAAATGACCACATAGAAAGCTGAATACTGAACCTTCATTCTACTCTGATGAAAATCACTTCAATAATAACTATTAGAAAAAAGATGTGTATCAAATAAAGACAAAAAACACTATTATTTAATATCGAGTCGAAAGTATCAATAGACTGATCATAAACAGTTGGTATGCATCACATTCATGTGTTACATTTCAATTACCTGATTAGGTTTAGGCCATTCCTCGCCAATTTTTTTATCCGGCAATTCTATTAAATCTAAATGATTGATTTTCCACAAAACTGGAGTTTCTTTGAGTTTAAATAAAGCAATATCATACTCCAAATTTCCTATGCATATAAAAAAACATAGTAATGTTAAAAGTATGGAATTACATAGTAATTTCAAAATAAAATCGTTATTCACAACTTTATTACTTAAATTTAAACAAAGCAGTTGGTAAAGCCGATGAAGAATAATAAGATTCTTAAAGTTACTTTATAAGATTGGTTGATGACAACTGGAGAACCACTAAAATGTTGTTTAATTTTAGTTAAGAAATTATTAGATGAGATCACAACAACACAATAAAATTTAGGACCTTCAGCTCAATAGCCATTCATGGTACCCATGTGAATAACTGTCTCATTCATGATGCGGTTTACTTCAGCAAGCATGCTTTCTTACTAAATGTTCTGGAAGTTTCATGTCCTAGTAAGTGTTTATTAGTAAGTTTGTGTTGTTGCAGATCCCTTTATTGCAAAGAAACTCCTGGTCAGTTCTCTCTGATTCCCAATGTTTATTTATTTTGTGTTAGTTCATGATGGATGATGGCTAGCAGTGGAATCCAGAACGCGCTCTCCATCCTATTTGGGACTCGTCAGCTGGATGTACCTGCATCACAGAGTTGATATTTACTCCGGAACCACAACCCGGTATCGTTCGCTTCAAACGCCATCATGTTATCCACTTAGCTACTGAGTCCTGATGGTCACTAGCTTGTGCAGTGGGGTGAAGTTTTAATTCATTTTATATTGTTTGTTTGAATTTTCCTAATGATGTTTAAGATTGCAATTGATCAGTCTCTTATTGGCATATGTGCATCCTGTGCGGATTGCCTCGATATTGTGTTAATTCACATATGTCGATGAGAAGATTCAAACAAACAATACAAAATGAATAATAATAACATTAACAATAATTATTAATTAGAATATTATGTAAAATAAGATAAATGCATAATTAAGGATAGGGTAATCTTCTTGGAATGAAGTGCATATCATAATAAATTTGTGAAGGGATAAATTTAGAATAAATAATGAAATTAATTTGGACTTCTAATTATCCCATCTATTCATTCAATATCCTGAATGACAAACTTATTGATCAACAATCGTTTGAATAAAATTTTCATGATAGATTCTTGTTATTCCAATTATTCAACCAGAAAGGTGTACAACTATGGTAAAAAACGTAAATAATGTGTTCAAATTGTCAAATATATAAATATCAATACATAGAACAAAGACGTAAAGTATCCAAAGAATTGTTTTACAAATTTTTACGTAATTTCAGTCAAAATAAATCAGACTTGTTTTATATGATGATTATATGTTGTTTATCATTAACATTGTATACTTACAGTATAAAAATTGTCATTGATTTGATACAGAAATCATACAAAAAATTTGAAAATACGTTGTGATTTGTATAAATGTTTGAATAAATAATCCACGGTGTCAATGAATTTGTAGCTCATGCGTTTTAAATATACGATATGTATGCAGTACCAAGCATTTTCAGACACTTTTTATTCATTCATTTGGTGAGTGAATTCTGTATCTAAGAACAGAATTCCCACTGTGGATTTCATTTTAAGCCATTACTGTCACTTTATTCGCTTGTTACATCTGGCATATTGGGATGCGCTACGGTGGCGTTTTCATAAAAGATATACGTATATGGCACTAGGTTACTCCTTTAAAATACTCAGTAAAAATCATGCTCTTATATGCAGCACTCACTCACCAAATGAATGACGAAATTCCCGAAAGTGTTAGATATTAAACTTTTATTTAGGATGACTATCCTCAAAAATAAGCTACATAGTAATAATAATCATAAATAATAAATATATTTTTCTTATATCCCAATGGGTAGAAAATTGCATTACTTACATTTCGTGATTTAAGGTAGGGCAGTTCTTCAGGGTCAATAAAAAACAAAGTGGCTTACATCAAAAACAAAATTTTCTACTCACTGAGATGTAAAAAAAATATTTATTACTAAGTGCTTACCCAATGCTCACTTTATTTGAAGCTATCAAATCCAACGTTGGCGCTGATACCTACAAACTCAATAATTATCACTACTATTAAATTCACTTGGTTCAATTTTACTTGAATCTTCCCATTGATGTTTAGGACTGCAAGTGATCAGTCTTTTATTGGTGTATGTGCATACCGTGCATATTACCTCGATATTGCCTTAATTCATAAGCATTATTAGCAAAGATGGGTAGTGGTTAGCAGTGGAATCCAGAACGCGCGTTTCGCCATATTTGGAACTTGCCAGCTGGATGTATCTGCATCACAAAGTTGATATCCATTCTGGGAATCGAACCCAGTACCGTTCGCTTCAAACGCCATCACGTTATACACTAAACTACTGAGTCCTGATAGTGGTACTGGGTTCGAATGCCAGAGTGAACATCAACTCGGAGATGCAGGTACATCTAGCTGATGGGTTCCAAATGGTACTAAACGCATGTTCTGGATTCCACTGGTAACCACTATCCATCTCTGCTTATATCATTACTATTATTAATATTGTTAACCAATCTTTAGAAAATAGTATATGTTTGTCGTGGTAATAGAACTGTGTCGTTTACATCACTAACTGTTTTCAGGTAAACAACCATGGAGAAGCAGAAAGTAGTAGACATCTGTTAGATACTAATTTTAGACTCATAATTGTTATAACTCATTCATGAAATTCCCCTCGTTCTGCAGGGATTGAATTCAGGACTTTCAAGCCTCATGGAATGCTACACGTTTAAACAATGATCTGCTCTTGGAATTTTCGTCAATTTGTGATAGTTTTCAACCTTCATCCATTGCTATCGAGAGTAATGGTTTGTCGCCGGAGGTTAAATTTTTCTGAATTTGAAAGTGCATCACGATGTTCCCTTTTCCCCCTTACCTTTAGACCAATCAAAAACAGTTATCATTGTTTAATGGAGAACCTGCTCTCGGATGAATAAAAACCATCAAATTCAAAAAGGCATCATTACACAAATTTTACTACCGCAGTCATCCCGTTTCACATGTCTACATCGGACAGCTAATTGAAGAATATGTTTCGAGAGATGTTTGTTAGTGTTGGATTTTCAAATGAAGAAATGTTAGCCAGACAAATAGCAGTTTACAGGCACCATACTTTCCGTCATTTCATTATAAGTGATGGCCATTACAACGAGAGCGATTTTTATGTCAAATACGCATGTAGGATGAATGGGCGTCGTCAGCAGCCGATGACATCTTCATCAACAAAAAGGTATGTTTCCCCGAATATCCTGTATATAACAAATTATACGAGCTATTGGTCGTGGATATTGGTCATTCGCCCATGTCCGTATGGCAGATGAATCGTTCACTGTAACTAGATGGTCAACGACCCAAAAACGTGATTACTGGGTGTTGTTCATGAGCGAAGCCCATGGTTCCGTCGTTTGACAGAAAATCAAATGAAAAGTATTTTCCCTTCGTTTATGAAACTTACAGAAAGCGAATCATTGCACAGGATGTCTGTAATATGCGTCACTGTGTATTTAAGCAGTCGAAACTTCCAGGTTTATTTAATAGTTTTCGCAATGTTGGCTTAACAGATAGTTTAGAAACCTTCTCAGCACACAGCATCCAGTTGGGAGGCGGAGCACAGATGCAGCGTGGTATAGACGGATATCTACAGTTCTATTTCTTCTGTACACGAGATCAGAAAAAAATAGCTTATCAGTCTACAGAAATCATAACAATTGACGACACCTATAAATGTAATAAAGAAGAAATGTCACTCTAACAGTTAGTGGCTTTGGATGTGTCTATGAAGGCAATGTCAGCAACCATTGAATTAGTAAAGCGAGAGACATGATCTTATAAGAATGTTTTTATCCTTTTTTCATGATGGTGTTTTTGTCTTATATACAGCTTCATTTGTGATGGCAGCCGTTACTAACGATGCCCTTAGTGCAAACTTCCTGAGTGTCCACCATATTTTGTTCAGAGTTCACATTAGACGAAACGTTCTGCAGCAAGTAAGGAAAACGTATTTTATCATTATTTCTTCAGAATGTGTCAACAAGTACATTTCAACTGTTTCTGAAAGTGATGTACACGAAAGACGTTGAATGGTAACTGTGTTTAGTCCATGAACATTTTTAAATCTCATTAGTACGTCAACGTAATTGAACGGGAAAATTAGTGCTGTGTGCCACTTATTTAAACTACATAGAAAGAAAGAGGATTCTGGAGATTGGACTAGATGTTCATTTATTGTTTCTTTAATGTTGCACATGAAGTTTCCATTTTGATTAGTTAAATTTTTCAGATTTCAACCACCAGGATAACAGCAAACTCTTTTGTTAAACAGTTCATGTGAGAAGATAAGCACGTAACAAATCAAATAAGCCAAATTCTAAGTGGCATAAAATTCAATACTTTGAAACCCATAGCATTCCAGTCGAGTTTTTCAGCATATATCGGTCAACAATTGTCTCACACCCTATTGTATGACATGCAAATAAAAGAAACGGGCATAAATAAATTATGAAGACTGACAAATCAAATGTCAGGGCGAAATTCATTCCTGTATTATAAATTATGTCAGTTCAGAATAAAAATCCTGATGATTCATATAGATAAGTTAGCTATTAATGAAAAAAAACTATTAGTTGTAATTTTATCACATTTTTTCGATCAAAAATCATTTCACAACCAAGCGATGGTACACATTGACTAGAAAACATCTCAAGGTCCTCCACCTACCTTACTTATATCAAGAATCGTATTTACTAACACAAAACAGACCACCTACCAGGCTCATATTTTGGATGATGAAATATTTCTTCTACATGATAAAATGTTTGAAGTTTAACATGTCCAAAAATGGAATTGAAGACTCGATTGAAAGCACCTTTTAAACGTTCTAAGATTCCAGGCTAAAATAAATAAATATATCCCATATACATCATGAGCTTTCGTCAATGGGAGTGGCGGCAGACAATGTAGTTGGCAAGCAAAATATTTAAGAATCAGTCGAATACGCTGATCACACTTAAAAAGCTTACTTTTCAACCAGTTTTTGAGATTCCACCAATGTACAATCCTTGAGTCTTGAACAAACTGAGACGCAGAATCCAACGGAAAGTTTGCTTCCAAACCTTATTTAGTTTTTAAATGTTCATTGTGGGGGATCTACACATTAAGACAAAACAACTAGTATTTCTTTATTTTTAATTATTATATTGTTAGGATTCAGTTCGTGATATAAAGCATAAGTTTAGAAATCTTTGCAGACCTTCAATACTATTTAATGTGCCTTGAGGACTCACTGACAAATATCACGTGCCAAATCACCAATCAAAATCCTTACTTACTCCATAGATAATTAGAATGACCCATTATGTCATTGAATAAAAATAGAATACAACAAAGGAAATTTTTCATCTGAAGCTGTACAATCGTATATATAATTACATATGGAAAATATATGTCTAGAGGAAGATAGAAAAGATTGCATCATAAAACAGACTGGAGACTAAATAACAAAAGAGGTTGCGTTCTAATCAATGCGTGAGGATTGCAATATAGGGATGATAGCGACGACGTTAGAATGATTTTGTAGTTTGACATCACTCAACAGCCAATGAGAAACGAAGCAATCAACTTGTAAGAGAATAGCGTTCTTATGGAGTTTATCAGTTTCTCCGGACTTATTACCAGTTCTGAGGTGTTAATATCGGAAAAATGACGCTACAGAATCTCATTTTTCTGCATGCGGATACCAGTCACATCTAAGGTTTCGTTCTGATTCATTCCCGTAGCCATTATTAATCACATAAAAAGTCTTTATGAATAGGTCTGCTGAACAGCCGCCAACCCGAGCTTCCAATTTTGAGGAAACTCCCAAAGTCAAATGACCTTCACCAATGTTTGGGGATCTTTGGCGTCATTTTGTGCCATTTCCCCAAAATGTACTATAGCGACTTCCCCAAAATCTGCCAAATCCTCCCCAAAATTGTGACCTTGAGAAGATAAGACAACGATATTGGGAATTCAAACATTAACATCACAACCCATTTTCACATCCCCACTCTACAAGTTTACCTATTGTTCACTGAGCTTGCCGTGGATTAAGTGATCAAACACAAAAATTCGTTAGTTTGCGTGTTATATACAGTCTGCATAGAAAGTAAGGAAATGGACCGTCATCTGTAATGTCACTAAACAATCCCTACCACTATTTCCAGTAATATTTGGAAATGGGTTGTACGAAACTAATCAAAAACCCACTCTCTTGATCGTAATTACATCAGCAGCTTAATATAGTTTTACCACTTGGAAACACGTGTTGTGAGCAATGAGTCAAATCACGCTCCGTCAGAAGAACATCACAATACGTATTAGACTCGAACCGATATCGTGAATTTGACGGTGAACTCCCTCTATGGCTCACCATCTTCACCGTGCACACTATCGCAATCCAAGATGGGGGTCATATTATTCCCATCTACCTATCTTGCCAACTTACACGAAAAATGCAGGTTCTCTACGACAAAAGTACCTACTCGTCATGCTACGGCGTATAAAGCGTGAAGAACGGTCACAGCATAGCAAGACATTCCATAACAGAAATTACCCGAAAATTGAGTGACTAATCGAACATCAACTACTCATCAAGAATATTCCAGATATCGGCATATGATGAACTAGTGCAAACAGGGGCTATGTAGCGCTTAGTCTGACACATGTGTGCAAGCTCTTTGTTAGGAAGGTCATGTCTCTGGTCAGTCTTGATGCTACGTAAACAAACAGCCAACCCTACCAATGTGGGGCAACTGCAGCACTACCATTTCTTCAAGGGTGACAAAACCACGAATATCCTTGTGTGCAGTAACAGGCTAGGATTCCCGATTACCAGCCTCAATATTAGGTCCCAACCACAATGCAACAACCATTAACGCCCTCCCAACTGTGCACTCATATTGGTGAACACCCCCAAATGTTTGTGTACTATGTCCAGAACTCGACACTAGTGTTTACACCTCATTCGGTCTAGGTTGATCGTAGTAAACATGCACTGCCTCTCTCCCGTCACACCCAACATCCTTCAGCAGCATTTGCGCAATTATATAGCCTTCGGCCAATGGGTAAAACGGTGGCACCCCACACTCGAGACTATCCATACTAGTACCGATTCGGTCGCCCGCATGCGCACTAACAACACAAACTCTTTGTCCCCACTACACAAAGCTCACACACAAGGTGTCACCACATAAACCACCATGTCAGCCAGGAAAACTACACACTAAGTACAAGGCAATTCGGGACAGAGAACCTCTCATCGGAATCCCAACTTACATTTAAAGAAAAAATGAAAACAAAATCAGAAATTGGTGGCCCTAAACAGGGCCGTGGAAGCGTTCTCTACACAAAAACTCCCGAAACAAATTATTTGGAACCACTGTACTTCGTCACTGCCTTCGTGCCTTCAGACACAGCGTGTTTTGCCAATTCACCTGGCAACAACAATCGGACTGCTGTCTGCACCTCCCGACTCGAAATTGTCGACTTCTTGTTGTAGTGAGAGAGTCGGCTGGCTTCTGCCGCAATACGCTCAAAGATATCGTTCACAAACGAGTTCATGATCGACATTGCTTTCGACGAGATACCGGTGTCAGGATGAACTTGACGAAGAACCTTGTAGATGTATATAGCATAACTCTCTTTCCTCCTCCTCTTCTTCTTCTTATCAACCTTCGGTAGCTTAACCTTCGACGCTTTCTTAGCAGCTTTACCAGATACAACCTTAGGAGGCATCACTTTGTAGACGAACGCGTACGGCCACACAAATCTCCATCTTCATATTTATATTATATCGCTTTGTAATTTCTGTCTCTCATAGGTTATGGCTTTGTCAATAATTACCAAACGATGATTGGCTGACTTTCTCAAGGTTATATATCGACCTTGTACAAAGCATATGATTCTCATCCCTTCCAACTTGACCTATAAGAAATCGACGTTGTTTTATGTGACTTCGGGGTCGTAATCTTACGCTAATTGGTCTATCTTCTCTCCCCTCTTAAAACGCCTAGTTATTAGTCGATAACGGACATGGTGTATTTCAGCGGGGTTTTTTTATTCAGGTGGAAATTTATGCGCCGCAGCGTTGAGCTCGTTAATACCCGTAAATTATGAAACTACTAAGATGTACGATTACTTGTTTCCAGAAGTATCTTCACTGATCCTAATTCCATTCCAGAAAAAAGTTTTAAAGGTAATCAGTTATATTTTAAAAATTAAGTAACATGGACACAGTTAAGTTCCATCCAATCTAATCAGCTGGATACGATCCAGTGTTTGACTGACTGAAATACTTCCTATTCTGAAACAATTTATCGATCCGGTCATGTAATTAGTACATCAAGATTATCAGATACAAGGTATAGTTTCGGTCATGCAACTGTAAGACATACAACTTCCCACTTCATTTAAGCGTGGAGTCGCTCCACAATTCTTTGTAAAGGATCTACGGGACAAATGAGTCTGATCCATTTTACACTAATAATGTAATTATTTAAGTAATGACTAGCTTAAATTGTTGATTATTTATCAGAATTTGTCGTCTGAAATGAGTATTTTGCTTCGTCTCAATCCGGCTAATGAGATTTTACAAATTTCCATATTTAAAGATCTTTTCTGCTTGTCTCGTGAATACATCGACATTTCCACAAAATTGTCCTTGAAATGGAGTTTTCCTGAACAATTCTTAATAGGTACATACATTTGCCAAAAACTCCCCTCAACGAAATTTACCTTGAACCGGATTTGTTGGTCATACGACAACTTAATTACCCCAACTGGTTAATGAAGATGTTTACATCCAATTACTGTTGTAAGCATTATTATAACCTAGTGTTGCTAATGTTGCTCGAATGGTTTAATCCAAATGCGAAAAGAGCATGTACTGTTCAAATAGGTAAATCGGAGTAGCTAGACTTCTTGACTTGGTGCTAATCAGGACATTACAAAATACGTTTATGAGAAGCCAACTTGGTGTACATGTATGGACTTGTTTTCTGACCTGAAACTACAATTGTCTCTTCAATGAGTAACTTTACTTCGAGTTTTGGTCTGCAATTTATTATATTGTCGTGGTAATATACTTTTCCTTATGCAACTAATCAGGAAGTATTTCCTAAAATTTTACAGGCCAAATTTCGGTCGTTTGTGTCTATCGATTCACACTTCATCTCGGGTTAGCCCAGACTAAATCTCTACTGGACTTTGCACTAATTAATTATCAAAGTGACTTTTAAAAATAACTTCTGAAACATAAGTTATCAATCAATTATCACAATTATATTTGTATCCTGAAAACTAAAGTCAGCACTGACTTTCCAGTATGTTCATTTCATTTAAGTGAGATATGAATGTCCTCACTAATTCCATGAAGCCAGTGTTATCATGTTTCACCTTTCAGTGGGAATACGGTCGATGATCGACTATACGAAGACAAGTAAGTAAATCTGCAGTACGATATTATACAATTGTCCGTTTCTAAAGTTACTGTCAATAAATAATTTAATGCCTTCAGTACTTTTGTTTTGTTGCACCCGACTTTGTTCAAGCTTGCCCAATCGCTATATTGGCTTGAATAGATTTTCCTTTAGGTCTCACCAGTTCAATTGGGAAACGGTGAGAATAGAAGCAAACTCATGGTTCGTAAGAAGGTTTGTGTTACAGACTGCACCCGATGTATGGAGGTAGTTAGGCGTTTCCCTCGGACAGGTCACCGAATAGCACATCTCTTCGTAGTGTTGACGGTCAGTAACTGACAACCACTTCCCTATTTCTCAAAACGCTAGAGATCCTCTTGTTCATTATCGAATCCGTTCGTCGCTTTTGGATAGTTCTGATTATCTTATCTTAATGTGTTATTCAAATTTTCCGCGTAATTTCGTTTATTGGCTATGTGTTGGTCACGTTTGCTTTACTATTTTGGCAATCCGTATTAACCTCGTGAAGTATATATTGGGTGTTGAGTCATATTACCGTTAGTGGTTCTTACTACCTCTCACACTGTTATTCCTTCCGAAGGTTTCATAATAGGGTTTGGCAACTTAAACCGGTGAACAATGTTAATTATTACGTTGCATCTTATTGGCTGACTTCTGTTGTATTAGCCACTGACTAGTTATTTTCCAGAATCCCTACATCATTTGTGTTCCCTTTAAGGGTTTATATCCAAAAATAACTCAATCCTCTTTTTCTAAATGTAGTTGGGATATTTGCACATGTCGAGTAATGCAAAGCACGGAGTCACGTAATATTGTTTCTGCCTCACGTTACGAAAACCAATAGCCTTCCTTGTATTATCGTTGTGAATTCACTCGTCACTGGACCGTATTACAAGTGGTAGGATTGTTCGATAACCTCAGTTTATTTTTGAAGCAGCACAGAATAAATAGAAAGAAAAGTACAACCCTAACTAATTTGCACTGGTAGGTACTCAGAGAGATCTGTATTTTGCTATATAAAAAAAGTCATCTACGTTATCCAAGATGAGGGTTTTTGGCGAACATTGTTCAGTTCGTAGCAATCCAGATTTATCAGTTCTGAAAGAATAAGCTTGGTAACGTTTGTTGAGCATGGCGGTAGTTAACCTCACTAGACTGCATGTCATGTTTAGTTTTCATAAGTTGTAGGATTTTATTATGCAACGAACGTTTCATTTAAGAGCTCCCGGTAAAAAAAAAAGAAACATCTACGTTATCCAAGATAGGGATTTCTTCAAAATATAATCGGGATGTTGCAGTCTAGTTATCGTTCAGTTCTGTCCTTTTGAGTTTTGTTTGTAGATGACTGTCCACTTGGTATGAGATTTCAGGTGCTTTGTCTTCATAATAATCTCGTATCTGTCATACTTCTAGAAGTTGCTAGTGGATCAGTAGCCATTCGAAAGATTAGTTGTGCGGTTCGACCATATCAGATCGACAAGATAGAATAAACAAACACTGAATTAGTATCAATTTTCTAAGGAAAACATGTACAGTTTGATGCTGTTACAGTGCGAATTCAGAAGCGCACTCATATGACATCTTGAATGACCGAATGGCTGATTTGTATTAAACAACACGATATCAAAGATTTTCAGTTTTCCGACCAATGTTATTCAGTCCGATGGTGTGGTGTTTAAACAGTTTATTCTATTTTGTAATTTCCCATATATGATTTTTTAAATTCCACCCGGGGTTAAGAGTAATGGCTGCTATCGCCCAGTTTTCATAAGTACCGGTTTAAGATGGTATCGTAGCTGACAGAATAGTAACAGATTGGTCGGTTAAAATGTTACACTTTCTATTAAAGTTAGGATATACCGTAATTTTTCTCACTAAAATAATTTCAGTATAGTGAAATATTGGTTTGTATCAATTATACTAACTCACACTTAGTTTTTCAGTTGCCATTCGTACATGCCACATTTTTGGATGTAGATAGCTAGAAAGTAGAGAGATAAACATTGCATCAACTTTATTAAACTACATATGACATTTTTACTATATTACAGAATAATGTCAATTAATAAACGATATTTAAACAAACGATCAATGTTGGATATTGTCTGTTCAGCACAAACAAATTGATTTACAAAATATGGAGTACTTCAAATTGGTCCTCGTTAAGATACTCTTTATCTGAGGCAATATACCTAATTCCTCACTTTAAATCTCCTTAACAGTTGTTTGATGTCAGGATCTTTATTCGCATTATCCGTTCACGTTTTGCTAAAATTATCTGGATAGAATATTTTTGTTCAAATTCACTTTATCACCAAACAATCAGCCAATGATGAAACGACCAGAAAGCGCTAGTAACCGAAAGTGTCTCAATAAATTTCCACTGTTATCAATCTTCACTGCAACCCAATTAGCTCACTGCGTATTTACTGGACTCACTAAGTACTTCGGTGCCAAATATTGACAGAATTGATAACTAACTTGGTCGTGTTTAGCTTATTAAAACCTAGAATAAACATGTGATTTAAAAAAATTGTATGGAACTATGCTACATTTGAAGTAACTGTTTCGAAGTATCAGGGAAACATGAATCCCTAGATTTGTACATGTATCAATTACTCTTATTTGTTCAGTGAATATACTCCTTATATTTTGTGTAAATGAACTCTTATTTTCAAAACTTGAACATTTTCTTCTTTGGTTGAGAGGTGGATGTGAATTACTATCGACTTTGTAAGTGTTTGGAGTTCCCAGTTGTTAATGGTAACAATTGTATCTGATCGAAATGAGGACACCAAAGACGAAAACGGGAAATCTGAATTCCAGTGGTAGCCGCAATCCGAATTCGTGAATAACTGTCCAGTGTTTTTTTATCCCTCACAACTTATTACGAAGCTTATTTTATCCGTTGTCAATGAAATAATACAACCGCTTAGTGGGTTTTTGGTTGCAATCAGTGATGATTAGTTAGAACTGTACTCCATTGACATCGTAGATGGTAACATTAGCCCCACCACACTCATAAAAGTATAGTTTGGGGCTGAATATATTAGCCTTTATTTGGTATATGGGTTATATTAAGAAAGCGTTGAGAGTTGTCGCTTGACCATTCAGAAATGCTCAGATGTTGACTTTAAAATCATCTCAAACAAAGAATTGTATCACCTTTTCAGTGATCCTATGTATGAAAAGTTCAAATCTCAGTGTGGATAGAGACCAGAGCTCGCACCACTTCTTTGTGATTGCCAAGTGTAACTTGAACTACTTCTTTACTTCAATTTTACACTTAAAGTGAGCAATGTAACCAAAAATTCACCTGATAATTTCGTCATCTTCTCCACTGTCGTATAAACAATGCGCTGCTGTAATTATCCAATCAGGTTTAATTAAAGCTGCACCACAGTAGTGTTGTTCGGATCCTGTAACTAATGTTGACCACAATGTATGTCGTTTAGCTTGAATTGATGCTGCCCATGGATACGTACCACGTGGAACAGATTGTCCACCAATTATACGTTTGAAACGATTTAATCCTTAAAATGTCGGATTTTTTAAAACGTAAGAATTATAAATAGTTAGGTGCAAGCAGATATAAAGATACAAGTGTGAGTAAAAAAAAGTGAATGGGAGAACACGATCTGCTGAGTAATTTGAATCAAAAACACTCACCGAATGTTGTCATTTTAATTTTGTTCGTAGTTCAGCGAACTCCCTAACCAGACAGACCTTATGGTCGTAGTCTAATAAAATGAAAATACCTTGTCCTGTTGGGATTCGGATCTAAACCGTGCACAACACTTGGGTAGTAGTGTCAATCACAGAAGTATCGATAATTTCAGTTATGTTATTTTCATTGAGTTAGATCTTTTGGTTTACGAAAGTTCCACTGGCGCTTCTGAAACCGTCAAGTGCTGTTTTCACACGTACGTCCTGATAATCTTACTTGTGATTGCCCATCCGGGCCTACACTTTTGGTCCTTGTCAAAGTGAATGGATACATGAATAAATTCATTTGTACATTCTAGAATGAGAGTGAAATAGAGCACACAAAACCATTTTTGCGAAACAATGTGTTTTATGATTGCAATTTGTGTTTATATTAGATAGATTAGCATACTCCGTTGAGATCAGTGAAAATCTATTTTTGATAGTCCAGCTAATTAAAATAAATGTTACGGTGAGGCCAAAATTTATATTACCATGAAAACAAGCTATTAATAATAATAGTAAGTGTATGCCTTTCCTAATTAGATTCTCTCTGAAACACAACCAGTTAATTTCCTAACTTTAATTGTTAATTATATTGATTTGTTGCATTTACATATACAAGATTCTCTGTGTATTATTTCTACCAAGTTGCAATATAGTGACACCTGTTTGTGGTTGATAATTAACATGAACATTTTTGTCAAATATCATCATATGTGCTTCGCTCAGCCCTTGATATTGTACAGTACAATTTCTTAGGTTTAATGAGTAATTTATCTAGCAAAATGGACTAGAGAATATAATGATGATTAATGTTCGTATTGCCTAGTGATGAGTTTTTTTTTACCGCATCACTGTTTCATAAAGGTTTGAATTCAAAGAGAAATACCAAAACCTTGAAAACTTCATTTTCATTTATGTGTTAACCAACGTGAATAATAGGTCCAGAGCTCAATTACTATTGCTGGATATCAAATCAAGCAGCTTTTTAGTCATATTTTGAACATCCATTTAATTAGCACACTAAGGAAAGTATTCAGGCAACCATAACCACTGTAAAATCATATACATTAGAGTCAGGTCTATCAAAGCGATTTATCCAAAATTGAAATATTTAGAACTACTCCATACTCTAAAAATTCGAACACCACTGATTAACCTATTATCATATAATAGTCAGTCAAAGTGCGATGATTTATGAAACAATGTATTACACGTGATACAGGTAAGACAATTAGACATGAGCAATAGTGTAAGGTTCAAATTATGAAGGAGTTTTGTCACCATTCAATCCCTAGAATGACAAAGGTAATTTTCTTCAGTTGTTCACTTTGAATGTTTAAGAGCATATAAATCAAATCTCCTACAACATGTGCATACTAAAGGTGGTTTATTTGGTTTAAGTAGCAATAATGACATACCGAGCTCTATCTAAAATTCTTGTTGTGTACCATACGTTTATCACGGTAGAGGATAATATAGAGATTTATGTACATTTTCTAAGTGCTTTACGTCAAGTTACCATTTACAAAAACTATTTGAAACTAACGGATGACGGATTGATACATTATTATAATCTGTGAATGTTACACGATGTATACACTCACAACATTTACAAGAGATTGTACGTAAGACTTAACGCATCTTATAGATTCTTTAATTAACAAGCTCATACTTTAATTTTATTACATTTATATAAACAGTCTGGTGATTTTAATTAAAGATAAATTTAAAAATAATTACTTTAATTGAACTCACTCTCATCGCTATAATCAATTTGAGCATATATATAATTAAATATACAAATTAGAAGTAATTTATACAGCATTTATTATTCCATATAATAGTTGACTATAAATAACCACAGTAAGTTATTATATATATATATATATATATATATATATATATATATATATATATATATATATATATATATATATATATATATATATATATATATATATATATATATATATTGACTATCAGTAACGATTATTATTTTTAATATCAACCGAGTTGAAATGATGCAGTGTGAAATGAATGCAACTCCGTGATTGGACTTTATTTCAACCAACCGATTCATATGGAACAAATATTATACACACACATGTAGGTCATTCTTATGATTATCGTTATAATAAGCGATATAGTGTATATATCCTAGCTAGAACAGAACACTTTCGTCCCACTTAATATATGTGTATGTAATTATATACATGATCAATTCATTAGTGTGTAGTGACTCACGTTTATTACGAGAACACGACTGGTTCAATAAAAACAATTATTATTATAAACAGTTGTACCAGTGTTTATTTTAATGTGCTTTTGTTTGACTGTGCTAATGACAGCTATATTGGGCTTCCATTCTTGTTCTTACACTTCGATTGTAATTTCGCGCGAATTCGGTTACCTTCTGTAACCAAGCTTGTATCCTGGCACGATCTCGGTATCCTTTCGATACCACGAGATCGCCAGTGAATAAATCTTGACTTGGTCCATTTTCTGCCTTCTGATATTTGGCTTCTCGGGGTTTTTATGGAGTCGTTTGGAACGAGCTTCTTGGTAGCGGTGTTCATAGTCAATCGCGACTCGACGCCACGCTACAATTGGTGATCCCAAAGTTTGGAACACGCCTCAACCTCTGGTAAAATCTACCAAAGAAGCCAATTTGGTGAGTCTGTTATTTATCTATCCACGTCTGTCGTATATTTTCATATTATCTTTTAATACATAATATACTCGACATGACGGATAACGATAAGAATAGTATTAATATAATAGACTCCCACGTATTTGTACCAAATCCTTGTCACTTTTTATTCGCGTGACGGTAAATCCCACGCTTTATTCGATTCTCCTCGCTGACCCGGCTGCTTGGTACGGAATGCATACGCTTAAGCATATCCGTCTACCACCCAGCACCAAATGGTTAAGTTGAACGGTTTCACTGCCCACTTAAGAGTGCTCTACGAGCACACGAAAACGGCAACTGTCACGAAACCTTACCGCTCGTTATTTTAGGGATCGGAACGAGCTTAAAGGCAGATATCCAATGTTCCGCCGCTGAACTTGTATACGGCACGACATTGCGTCTGCCCGGAGAATCCTTCACACCACGGAGCAGACCTGATTTCGGTAAATCAGACTACGTCCATCGACTGTCTGCATTTATGCGAACGCTGTCTCCGGTGTCAACTCGAATACAACATCGACAGGTCGCTCTCCCTCGAGAGTTATCTGCCTGTTCACATGTTTTCTTACGAGTAGATTCGGTACGCAAACCTTGGCAACAACCTTACGAAGGCTCTTTTCACGTGATCGCTCGTCACGAAAAGACCTTCAAGGTTGATCGATATGGACGCGTCGAGATCGTCAGCATTGATCGTCTCAAATCAGCACACGTCGATGACAGTGCCCTATCTGATACCCTGAGATTCAATGCCAGATCTATCAAACCTAGCGGGATCCTTAAATCTTCTTCAGATCCCACGCTAGATACGTTCAAGACCTCATTCTCACGTCCCCGGTCAACAGCACGCGTCATCTGCACCGTCTACGAACGAGACAACAGTCTCACGTCCATATCGGCAGACCACGCCGCCTTTGACTTCGGATGAGATTGCAGGCCCACGCGACGCGAACGTGACTATCGTCTCACGTTCCGGTCGCCGAGTACGGTTGCCCGTACGCTTCCGCGACTAGCCGCACAGTCAACAACCGATACGGTGTAGGATTATTCCTATACTACACGCATGCTACACTCTTCTCTTTTTTGATTTTCTTTTTGTTTCCTGAGCCCACGCCTTCGAACATCTCAGTATGGTTCCGTCGACTTCAGTCAACTTTGGCGAAAGCTGGACTGGCCACCCACGCTCTTGTCAAAGCACTCAGTCGATATATTGGTTTGAATGTTTGGCACACGCTTGGTCTCGAACTTGGTCCTTACGGTCACTTCTGGTCTTTCGGCTCAACGTGGTTTCGTCCTACGTCTGCAGCGTTTCTGGTCCGGATTCCCTACGAACGCCACCTTCAGATTCTGGATACAAACCACTCGTGTAGCATACCAACTCAAGCAACAAGTACAGCACATCGATTCTGGTACCGTTCTCCGAAAATAACCTTCGTTGGCAACTCGACGATCAACAATCGCTTTCCTGTTCGCCAATCCGTCGTCCTACAAACGCTCATCAGCCGATCAGTCCCACGATTTAAACCGCTATTAATCGAAAGTGTAAACCCTTTCTAGCGGGGGGCTCCTGTAGTGACTCACGTTTATTACGAGAACACGACTGGTTCAATAAAAACAATTATTATTATAAACAGTTGTACCAGTGTTTATTTTAATGTGCTTTTGTTTGACTGTGCTAATGACAGCTATATTGGGCTTCCATTCTTGTTCTTACACTTCGATTGTAATTTCGCGCGAATTCGGTTACCTTCTGTAACCAAGCTTGTATCCTGGCACGATCTCGGTATCCTTTCGATACCACGAGATCGCCAGTGAATAAATCTTGATTTGGTCCATTTTCTGCCTTCTGATATTTGGCTTCTCGGGGTTTTTATGGAGTCATTTGGAACGAGCTTCTTGGTAGCGGTGTTCATAGTCAATCGCGACTCGACGCCACGCTACAAGTGTATTTATCTCGGTAAATTTTTTTAACACTTCATGCAGTTTATCCAGAACTTGATGCTTATGAAATTGTCAACCTCTACTGCAACTAATGTAAAATATCCTACGAGTTCAGCCACTTAGCTGAAGGGTGTGGGTTCTATCATTGGAAATGAAGTGATCCAGTGGCTGCATTACACTAGGCAAATTGGTTCACAGACACTGTCGAATATCAGCAGTGTGAACAATTGATTATTTACATTATGTAGCGGTACATAAATCGCCAAAATAAATAGATCTGTAAGTCTTCGACATTTGTTGCTGACTACATTAGTTGTACTGGACTCACCTAGCTGAAGGCGCTCGGTCATACATCCACACAAGATCACGAGCGGGTACGCCGTTAGACAGTTTTGATCGAACGGTCCTCGAGATATCGATGGCCTTTCAAATATCACTCTTCAATTATGACTGCTGATTTGACTGGGTTGGCATACTTAGATTATATAAGTGTTACTAGTAAAGGCGTTGTCAAACTCCGAATACTTGTGACATCTTTAGTGGTGAGGCTGACGTGATCTGGTACATCGATTCGTAAGCTGTGAGTCTGTCCATTGTTGATAGATTATATAACATTTTTTTGATTTTCTTTTTTACATATTGTTAAATTGTTTTCATATTCATGCTTATTTTTTCTCTTTCCCATTGGTGTTTTATATCTTGATCATAATAGAACAGACACCTAAGTTACCTAAGGTCAGACCTCTTTCGCTTCCCACTCTTCAACTCATACCATTCCGGTCCGATAATATAGAAACATGTTACCGCTACGCAGCTGCTGAGATCCACGAGCACGACGTGATAGATGCACATGCACAATTCCTCACTATAGTGAAAATATTACCGTGCAGATTTTAGTGTTCTTCCTGTAAATACTAACGAGCGACTGCACGAACCAGTTTTCGACTTACAGGCGGCAAATGGGAAACCAATTGCGCTTACGGTGAGCGATATGTGTATGTTAACATGGATTTCTGTTGTTGCACATATTTCTGCGACAATCATTGGAATAGACCTTCTACAACACCATAATCTACTCATAGATACGCGCAAACGGAAGGTAGTCGGTGGGAATAATAAATTATCTGTTTGTGTAACTTTCTTTTCTGGCAATAGGCTATCCTCAGTGACTATTAAGCACGTAGTCGATCCATAATATCAACAAACACTCGACAAGCACCCCGAAAAATATCAAACGCTACCAAAAGTAGCGTGTGTAACCAGCAATGTTACAAATCAAATCACGACGACAAGACCACCTGTATTCTCGAAAATATGTCGTTTTGCTCTCAAAAAGCTGAGGTTGGCTAAAAACGAATTCGACCACATGGTAGACTTAGAAATCATCCGGCCATCGGACAACGAATGGGCATCGCCCTTGCACATGATCCTTTAAAAGAACAGCAGTGATTGGTGTCCAACCGGTGACTATCGACGACTTAATGCACAAACCATTCCTGATCATTACTCGTTGCCTCACATTCACGATTTTTAGCTACCTCGAAAGGCACAACTTTTTTCGAAAATCGACTTGGTTAAAGCATAAAACCGAATTCCCATGGCTGATGACGACATTCCTAAAACCGTTATTATTACTCCACAAATTTTTGCACATGCCTTTCGGCTTAAAAATCTTGCACAAACTTTCCAGATATTCATTGACGATGTTTTTCGAGGTTTCAAATCCATACACCCATATGTAGATGACTGCTTGATCGCAAGCTCTAACAGCGAATCTCATCTCCAGCATGTAATTCTTGTTTTTGAATGACTTCAAAAGCACGGCATTACTGTAAACATTCAAAAATGTTGAATGTGAACCGACTGTCTAGGTTTTATCGAACACACTATTGATGCAAAGTGGCGGCCATTCTGGATTACCCAGAACCGACTTCAGACAAGTACTCCCCCGAGAGTCTCGACAACATACAATACATTTCTCGGGCAAGCAACGTAGTGGCAGACTCCTTGTCTCGTATAACTTCCTTGAACAAGTAGCAAGGAGTCGACCGAGACATCACCTTGAACCGGTGGTATCTGACATCCGGCATAAAACAAAGTATTCTAGAAGAAGGGTAAAGCTTCCGAAACACATGAACGGCTACTTCACGTAAGACACAACATAACCTTTCGTTCCATCTCTTTATTTTTTGAGTACCATCGTGTCAAAAAGGCGAACCAAAAATAAACT